TTTTTTTTTTTTTTTTTAATTTAGGTGTGGGGCGCCTGGGTGGCTCAGTCGGTTGAGCATCCGACTTCGGCTCAGGTTATGATCTCGTGGTTCACGAGTTCGAGCCCTGTGTCAGCCTGTGTGCTGACAGCTCAGAACCTGGAGCCTTCTTCAGGTTCTGTGTCTCCTTCTCTCTCTGTCCCTCCCCCACTAGTGCTCTCTTTCTCAAAAATAAATTTAAAAAACAATAATAAATAATAAAATTTAGGTGAAATTCAGGTAACATAATCTTAATCATTTAAAAATATATAGTTCAGTGACATTAGTGCATTCAGAATGTTGTTCAACAACTCTCTTGGATTGTATTCTAAGATTATAAAGGGGAAAGATAACAGGTTGCTGTGGTTTATACAGCTGGTATAAAGTTTCCATCAATATTAAATGATTTGTATTACATGTACTCTAAATATTTATGAAATGAAGGACTGAATGAATTTTAGTATTCATGTATGGTGAACTTGGGGGATACAATTCAAAACTAGTTTATTTAGGGGCGCCTGGGTGGCTCAGTTGGTTGGGCATCTGACTTCGGCTCAGGTCATGATCTCACCACTCCTGAGTTCAAGCCCCGCTTTGGGCTCTGTGCTGACAGCTCAGAGCCTGGAGCCTGCTTTGGATTCTGGGTCTCCCTCTCTCTCTCTGCCCCTCTCCCGCTCATGCTCTGTCTCTCAAAAATAAATAAACATTAAAAAAATTTTTTTTAATAAATAAATAGTAGTTTATTTAGCAAAAACATAAGTCCATACAGTTACTTTAAAAGTCTGTGGTCAAGGGGAGCCTGGGTGGCTCAGTCGATTAAGCATCTGGCTCTCAGTTTCAGCTCAGGTCATGAGTTCGGCTCAGTTCACGAGTTTGAGCCCTGTGTCTGGTTCCACACTGACAATGTAGAGCGTGGCTGGAATTGTCTCTCTTTCTGCCCCTCCTCCATGCACTCCCTCTTTCTCTCTCTTTGAAAACAAATAAACTTTAAAAAAAAGTTTGTGGTCAAACTATGTACTGTAGTAGAATAAAAATCTGATAATCTTCACTTTTTCTTATAATAATCAATTTACCTGAATTTTTACTTAAATTATTTATTTTTTCCTCACTAATAAACTCTTTCTCTCCTGCAAACAAATCCCAAAAGTCCAGGGAAGCAACATTTATATTGTGAAAAGGATAAAAAAAAAAAATAGAAAAGGTTGATGGGGTCGGGATGTCACTTAAAGATTAAAAAAAAAGTGTAACAACCTTTTGCACTTCAAAGATCTCCAAGCAACCAAGATTTTATAACATTTTTCAAAAACAGCCTGATATTTTAGGATCTTGATTAAATTATTCCGTGTAAATTCAATAGATTTGTGTACCAAGAAAAGGAAAGGATGCATTTTCATACTTTTCGGAACTTTTCCATTTGTTTTAGGGTGTCTGGGTCCAGTTCTTGGGATACGTCTTTCATCCACAGCAGAGCTCCTCTGTATTCTGTGCGTGCTTGCTCCATCCGATTAATTGTCATCAAGGTATCAGATACTGCCCTTTGACTGAATGTTGCTACTTCTTGCTTAAGACGAGAAAGAGGAGTATATAGGGCCAATCTAGTGGCAGAGAGGTAAAAATCAGAGGGATGTACATCCCATAAACAAACAAAACAAAAACAAAGGTTTAAAACAACCACATATTTTGGCTGTATTTAGTAACTGTTGGAGATTCTTTGCAGTAAGTATCTTTATGTTAAAAATCTGTAAACTGATAATAAGTTCAAAATAAATAAGTAGAAAAAAATCCCCTCCACCTATAAAGAAGAAAAGTTCTAATGTACTCCTAAATAACATAATATCCAAAAAAGCAATAAAATAATTAAAATATACATATTTTTATATGCATGTGCCTCTGTTACATTAAACTACATTAAGGAGTTTAAATATAGGCTTAAAGCCTATTTGTAGGAATTAAGCAACCAGAATGTCAATTTTTAAGTAATTATTTTAAAACCAAATAAGTAAGAGGCATAGAAACAATTATATGCTGTATTTCTCTTTGAACCCTCTACTGGAATGATCAGTAACCTTTATAAATATGCAACTTTAGGTACATAGATCAAAACTGTCATAAGGACTACAGATTGAGGATGATGCAAAACTGTAAACCTTTGCTTGGCTGAAGAACAGAGTGCCTTGCCAGTAGCATCCATCATTTTACCAGCTTGTGTTGTATCCCGTTCTGCTTGAAACTTTAAAAAGAGCCCTAGTTCATTTTCTTCCTCTGATATGACTAGGAAAAAATTACAATACAGTTAACTGTTTTCTTTCATCATTTGTTAAAGACACACAGCTAAAATTCTCACAGCAACAATTCTCTATACATAAGAATTACTTGAGGGAAGAAGAGAGACTTATTTTAAAAATGCATATTCCCAGGGTCTATTTCCAGAGATTCTGATTTTACAGGTCTGAGGATCTGCTTCCCCTTACCCACAAGTACTCCAGATGGTTTTGATATAGTGAATTCATGGACTTTGCTTTGGGAAGCAAGGAGGGGGAAAGAAAAGATTCCAAAATGACAAAACCACAAATGCATTTTCAAATGTGCAGACATGCATTTTAGGATCACTGTCTCTAACAAAGTCTTTGTTTTCTATTTAAACTTAATTTAATCTTGACTCCCACACTGGTTTCAGTATCTATGCTCAGTATCCCAGACCCACAGACATCCATGGTTTTATTGCTGAAACCATAAAATTTGTCAGTAATGTAGTACATTACTACTCAGTGTTGTCCACTGACCAATTCCAGTCCACAGTCATTTGTTAACAGCCTGTAACAAGTACCGAAATGAAGAAACTGTTTAGAAGCTTACTAATTTGATGAGTATTTTATATCTGTTGAATCTAATAATAAAGTGTGCTTATATTTTGTGTGTCTTCTTTAATTTCATTTGTGTTGAAATTCACTTTCATTGTATTTTATAGAAGTGTCAGTTTACAACAAATTGAAAGTAAAACACAAAGCAAAAAAGTGGTCTTTGACCACAAAGTTTTGGAAGTGTGACCCTCTAATCACACACAGTAAGACTAATAAATGGGGAACCCATAAAGTATTCAAATTATTAGCTTAAAGTGAAAAATGACAAATGTCATGCCTAATTTCACCCTGGTTTACTGATGGAAAAACTGAAGTTAAAAACTGAAAGGGAGGGCGCCTGGGTGGCGCAGTCGGTTAAGCGTCCGACTTCAGCCAGGTCACGATCTCGCAGTCCGTGAGTTCGAGCCCCGCGTCGGGCTCTGGGCTGATGGCTCAGAGCCTGGAGCCTGTTTCCGATTCTGTGTCTCCCTCTCTCTCTCTGCCCCTCCCCCGTTCATGCTCTGTCTCTCTCTGTCCCAAAAATAAATAAAAAACGTTGAAAAAAAAAAATTAAAAAAAAAAAAAACAAAACTGAAAGGGAAAGGGGTGCCGGGCTGGCTGAGTGGGTGGAGCATGCGACTCTTGACTCAGGGTTGTAAGTTCAAGCCCCATGTTGGGCAAAGAGCCTACTTAAGAAAAAAAAAAAAAAAGAAAAGAAAAACACCTCACAAAACAAACTGCAAGGGAAGTCTCTCAGCACCTCGGAGGTGGCAGCCCACTCACTTACTAGCTCCACACTCACACTGCTCCTTACTGTCACTTCTTTGTCACAAGGAACCATTCACATAATAGTTCAGTAAACTATTTTTACATTAAATCTTTCATTCTCAAAAATGCAAGTAAATTATTTATTTTAAAATGGGAATTACTGAATAGATATATAGGATTTCATACCATTAAGTCTTAGTTGATATTTCTCAACTATCTTCAGAAGTTCAGTGCATGTCTCTTGAATAGAGTGAAAAACCTTTGAAATATAAATTTTATTAGGACCAAATTTAAAGAATCATAAACATAAAATATCTGTTATAAGCACTTCAAAAGCAGAACATTTTCTTATAAGTATTATGTTTATTTTCCTTGACTTTGAAGTACTTCTGTATTGGTTTTATATAGATGTAGAAAGCACTTTTAGATTCCCCCTTGAAGGCTGGAAAAAATGGAGATAAATACATGGGAGCTAATAAAGATTTATAACTGTGAAGTGTGTCCTCCCCTCAGCTCCAAACTATCTAAATAGCAAAAATGTAAATCCAATATAAACTGCATCAAATATTGTCAATTTCAGATGAAAAGAGTATAGATAACCTTAGAAAATGTTAACTCTCAATCTGGTTTTTCTACAATATTATCCTAAGCAAACAGGTCAGTTAATTACCATAAAAACTAAATAATGTATTACAACATCATAAATAAATTACTTTTGGATTGTTTTTATTTGGAATTTTCCCTTCATTACTATTGTTGCTAATACCTAAAAATAAAATAATCAGTAGACACTTATTTCAAAGTAAGCACATGAAAATTTGATATTAGGACACATTATACACATGAGGTAACTCTTCACACACATATATAAATTTAGGTTTTCCCAGAGAGATGAAGTGTCATAGGTTTTAGGGTATAGCCGTCTTCCCACAAAGTCCTATGCCAAAGAATTGTTACAAGACTTTAGTTTAAAAAGACCTTTGCACTGTAGCATAGTCTTAGGCCCTAATCCTTTGATTATCAAATAAATTTCCAATATCACCACTGAGCCTAAATATTCACTCTCTGAAACAGTTTTGTTATTATTTAGATATATGATCAGACCTAAGGAAGATTAGTGACAGACACTAAAATCTAAATGGAGGAGCAACTATCAACTTTCCACATAAGTTTAGGTATGTTTGAAATGAATTTGGTATATGGATTTTGCAACCTAAAAAGCTGTTTTAAATCCATATGGAAGAATAGAAAAGGGTACAAAAATGAGAGCTCTACTATGATGAAGTGATTATGATTGATTTTGTTCCCCCTGGGTCTTTGGAAGATTTATATAGAATTGCTTTTAATTTTACAATGACATTTTTTTTAAGTGTGAGTGTAGTATAATATAATTAAAGTGTACGACACGATGATTTAAGTAAATATACAATAAAAATTTTTCTCATTCTTAAAAAATAAAGTACAAAAGTCAGAGAAAGTACTTGGGTGATTCCAAATATTTGACTAATGGATAAGAATATAAAATATGTCATACAGACTACCTAACGATGTAAAACAAAACAGAAAAATCTATGTCTATGGGAATATATGTTGAAATAGTGAATCCTTCCTTTAGCCTTAAAACATTTATTGCTTATAATCAAGTCCCTTCATTTTTTCCACATGTCACTGAATCCTAAGAATACTTTTCTACACAAAAAGCTTGTTAATTTGTTATCTATTTCCATATTTGTTATGGCAATGACATAAATTTACTTTTTTTATAATAAAAATACTTAGTAGATTAAGACCTATTTAATTAGGCCTCTACTTTTAAGGATTGCAAGAAATTATTATACTTCAAGCAGAACAAAAATCCTACTTGGAAATATTTGTAAAAGGCATCTTCAATTAGTATACATACATGGAATCAGTAAACTTGCATTTAAAAACCTAGACCTATTCATTAATATACATGAGACTTTCCTCTAATTAGCTTAATCACTTAAAAGTATAAAACACTCATAGGTTTAAAGTCATTTCATGGCAATGACTTTATTTAAAATGAAAAACATGGACAAAAAAAAACACATTATAAAATACTTCAATAACTTTATCCCTTAATTATAGAAACAAAAACTCTAACTTCTAAAAATCTTCACTCAGGGGGGCCCTGGCTGGCTCCGTTGGTGGAGCATGCAACTCAAGCTCCTGAGTTTGAGACCCACGCTGGGTATAAACTTCCTAAATAAATAAATAAATTTTAAAACATAATAAAAAAATAGGGGCGCCTGGGGTGGCTCCAGGAGAGCCGGCTATAGCCCGACTTCAGCTAACAGGTCATGATCCTGCTGATTTGCTAGAGTTCGAGGCTCCTACGCCTTGGCTCTGTGCTGACAGCCTGCTGTGAGACTGAGCCTCACTTCAGTTCTCTCCCCTCTCTCCCCCTCCCCTGTTCATGCTCTGTGTCTCTCTGTCTCTCAATAATAAATAAACGTTAAAAAAAAAATTTAAAGGGGCGCCTGGGTGGCTCAGTCAGTTGAGCATCCTGACTCGCCAGGCCTATCTTGTACCTCTGTGGTTCGACTTGCCCCATGTGCATTCCTATGCTGACAGCTCAGAGCCTGAGCCTGCTCGACTCTCGTGTCTCCTCTCTTCTCCTGCCTCCCCTGCCATGTCTCTGTCTCTTCTTCACCACAAATAAAACATTATAAATTTAAAAATTTTTAAAAACATAAAAAAAATATATAAACCCTCACTATTTTATTTCAATTATTTTCAATTAGGCACAAGACTTCATGTAAAAGTAGTACAAAATATTTTGACATAATAGAATTGAATATAACACGCGATTATAACTTACACAAGTAACAGGCAAAAAGATTCATGATATTTATATTAATTTCAATTAGGAGACAAAGGTGATAAAGCTATTATGATATTTAAATAATGAATGGAAATAAATTTATTTAACTAATCTATTTGTAGATATCTAATCAACATAATTGATTAATATTTAGCTTAAAAACTTATATTTATTACTTACCTAACTTATAAATACTAGTTCTGCCAATTCTCAATTCGTGCAAATTGTGACCTCCTACTCAGATATGATTGACAGATGAATACAATTAAATATTCCATTATCAAATTTGCAAGCTCTTCAAAGTCCCAAATAATAACCAGTTATATGCAATACAAAGAATCCTCAAATTTACCTCAAGTTTAGCATCCAGTTCAGCATCAGATGCCACCACGTGCTCATCCTCCTTTTTTCCTGTTGCTTTGATAAAGACCTGTTTGGTTTTCCAGTATTTCTTTTGCATTCTGCTAACTACTGACTGGTTATCTTCTGGTCTGGGTTGCCCAAAGGAATCCATGAAGTGACTACAAGGAACAGACTAAAATTTCTTAAATTTTTTTCAATAATAAATATCTAGTCAGTCAGTATTTAATCCAATTGAAAAAGTGAAAAAGATACTAAGTAGAATATTCATTTTAATAGCTAAACATTCTAATATTTGCTCTATAAATTCTAAACTTATGTTATAATTATAACTTGCACAAATAACAGGCAAAAAGATTCATGATATTTATATTTCAATTAGGAGACAAATGTGTTAAAACTATTATGATTTTGCAATAATGACTGGAAATAATTTTATTTAACCAATCTATTTATAGACATCTATTAGTTTCTAATTTTGCTTTTGTAATAATACTGCAAAATGAATTTGTACTTACATCTTTGCATATTACTATCATTTCCTTAGAAAAGCCTCCCATAGTTTTAACTGCTGTGTCAGAATACACATTTAATAAATATTCTCAGATACACAAGGATTCAGATACATACTCTTTAAAAATCACTCAAATAAATGCTTTAGTATCAAATAAACAAGCAAAAATAAAGATCTCAATAAACATTAAAAAACTTTTTTTTTTTTTTAATTATAAAAGGGGTGCCTAGGTGGCTCAGTCAGTTAAGCGTTCAGCTTTGGCTCAGGTCATGATCTCATGGTTCACAAGTTCAAGCCGCATGTCAGGCTCTGTACTGACAGCTCAGAGCCTGGAGTCTGCTTTGGATTCTCTGTTTCCCTCTCTCTCTGTCCCTCTCTTGCTCATGCTCTCTCTCAAAAATAAACATTCTGTAAAAATTTTTAAAAATTAGGGGCGCCTGGGTATCTCAGTCTGTTAAGCGTCCGACTTCAGCTCAGGTCATGATGTCACAGTCTGTGAGTTTGAGCCCCACGTCAGGCTCTGTGCTGACAGCTCAGAGCCTGAAGCCTGATTTGGATTCTGTGTCTCCCTCTCTCTCTGCCCCTCCCCTGCTCATGCTCTGTCTCAAAAATAAATAAAAACATTTTAAAAATTTTTTTAAAAATTAGAAAGATCTCAGGCATAGGGGAGTTATGTTAGAAATAAAGATGGAAATTATAACCTGTGAACTTGAAAACTAATGTTTAAGTAATTCTTCTTAATATGGTTAACACGGCTATGTAAGGAAATGCAAATGTGGAAATTGTTCCTTAAGGAGATGTAAAAAAAAAAAAAAAAAGAAAGAAAGAAAGAATAATAATGGTTTTTAAAGCCTAAATTATTCCAATAAATGGTGGGAGGCAGGAACACAGGGAGATTTTAAAGTATGTGATTGATTCATCATTTTCAGAATCAACAATTAACGTATTATTAATCTTAGTAAAGAAATAGGTTCACCTACTTTTTTAAAAAGTAATTACTAATTAAATAAAAATAGAATGTTTACTTTCCAAATTACTAGGGGCAAAACAAAAGAGCAAGGAAAACTAGCAAAAGCAACAGCAGGGTGGGAAAAACAGGATCAAGGCAACATAACAAAAAGTATAAACTAGGATGACAGAATAAGAACAACTACACAATTTAGTATGATAAATGCAAACTTCCTCTCAAATATAAAGAATTTCAAACCATAAAAAGAAAAAACGATATCCAACTACACACTATTTGGGGTCAACCTCTAACAAAATGACACAGGAAGAATTTGTTAAGATAAGCCAGGTAAATACACACAAAATTAAAGCAGGAATAGCCATACTAATATCAGACCAAGAAGGTTTAAATAAGTAGCATTAAATAGAACACAGTTAAAATGTAAAGTCCACAGGTGACCACTCTTCCAGATATCCTCTGAACATTCTCCTTTGGATATTCTCCTGGATTCCTGGCAGTATAGATTAGCCACCATTTAACTGCAGAACCTCTCCTATGCTATGCTGGATAACTTGGCTAGACATAGTTGAGATGGAAAATAGAAAGAATTTAACCTTAGTACAGAGTGAATCATCCTACTGTTCTGACACATAAAAAGTCTTGAGGGAAAACTTGCAATTTATCTTTGAAAAATGCCATATTATATACAGGGCAACAAAAATACAAATTACAGGCAGTTTCTCAACAAAACCAACAAAAGTTAGACTACAATAAAGGAATGTACTTAGGGTAATGAGTTAAAGAAAAACTGTCAATCCATAAATCTGTATCTATCAAAACTGTCCTTTAAGAAATGAAAGCAAAATACATTTTCAGATAAAGAACTGAGAGAATTCATGGCCAGGGAACTTTCAGAAATGCTAACAAATTCTTCAGGCTGAAGGAAAATTACAACAGTGATTTGGATCTACAAGAAATAATGAAGATAATCAGAATTGGAAAATGTCTGGGTAAATATGAGTTTTTTCTTTCTTGATTTCTTTAAAAGTTATAGTTTAACATGCAGAGAAAAATAAAAATAAAAGCTTAAGTGTCAATATTGTCATTTTTAGATCATTTATACCTTCACCTACTCCCTTACCACCTCATTCTATCATCATCATTACTATATGGTTCTTTCTGGTAATATTTACATGCATGAAGTATACAGTTTTTAGCTGTATACTTTTCACAAATGAATAGATATTACAGTATAGGACATTTCTAATGCCCCAAAAAGTTTCCTTATATCCTTTTTCAGCCACTGCCCAGCCTATAAGTAATAACTTTTGATTTTTTTCATCTTTGATTAGTTTTTCCTTGTCTAGTGTGTTTTTTTATGTTTATTTTTATTTGAAAGAGAGATACTGAGTGAGCAGGGGAAGGGCAGAGAGAGAGGGAGACAGAATCCCAAGCAGGCTCTGGGCTAGCAGCGGGGCTCAAACTCCTGAACCATGAGATCACGACCAGACCCAAAATCAAGTCCGACACTTAACCAACTGAGCCACCCAGGTGCCCCAGTGTGCTCTTTTTTTTATTGCTGAATAGTAATCCACTGCATTAATGTAACACTATGTTTTCATTTTTTACTACTATAGATAAAGCTGCTATGAACATGCCTAAACAAGTCCTCTTGTGGACAAATGTTTTTATTTCTTTTGAATAAAGACCTAGGAAACAATTCTGTCAAAGAATTAATGTATACTTAACTTTATAAGAAATTGCCATTTTACATTCCAATTAACAATGCATGAGAGTTCCAATTGTTCTACATCCTCACTAACATTTAATGTTGGCAGTCTTAGTAGTTTTATTCACTCTAGTCATTGAATAATGGTTTTTCCTTGTGGCTTTAATGTCAATTTTACTGATGATGAGCACTTTTTCATGTGTTAATTTTCCATCTGTATATATTCCATTGTTAAATGTTTGTCTTTTGCCCATTTTTAAATTGAGTTGTCTTTTTTACAATTAAGTTGTAGAGTTCTGAAATTTAGACTGGAGTGGCACTGAATCTACAGATGTATTTATGCAGGACTGGCATCTTAACGATACTTTTTTTTTTTTACTTTTTTTTTAGTGTTTATTTTTGAGAGAGAGACAGAGCACAAATGGGGGAGGGGCAGAGAGAGAGAGAGAGAGAGAGAGAGAGAGAGAGAGAGGGATTCACAGAATCCGAAGCAGACTCCAGGCTCTGAGCTGTAAGGACAGAGTGCGACACGGGGCTTGAACTCACTCACCGTAGGATCATGACCTGAGCCAAAGTCATGACTGACTGAACCACCCAGGTGCCCTTTAACAATACTGAGTCTTTCAATTCAAGAACGACAGCATGTATCTCCCATTTATTTAGGTCTTCTCTAATTAATTTTGCTCAGCAGTGTCTGCAGTTTTTAATATAGAAGCATTACACATATTTCATTTAATTTATTCCTAAATATTCTGTGTCTATCGATGTTATTATAAATATCATGCCTCCTAAACTCAACAAAAGCCTTTACATCTGTATATTTTATTACACTTAAATTCTGTACTTTTGTTTCTCAATGTTCTCATTACATGAAATGTTACAGTCTCTGAGGGGACCTATTAAATGGCATCCCTTTTCTCTGCATTTTTCTAAATAAGAAACAAGTAATATAAAGAGTAGTAGCTGAAGGCCCAAATCCCATTTTTTGTTACTAACAATGGCAAAGTTTATGGACATAGCTTAGTGTGAGACCTAAATGGTCCTCCTCACTGAGCATCAGGGCTAAGCAAATTTGCCAACCAGTCAAAGGTAACTGGATTAGGGCAAGTTTCCCCATATGGGAAGAGGAAGAAGGATGGCTAACCATTATTTCTTATCTCCCAAATTTTCCTTTTTTGCTTTTGAAAAGGCCCATTCTTTAACAGTTCTAATGAATCCTGTGGGTAAAAAAAAGCTTGGTCTTGGGATCTATGAAAGTCTATTTTGAATTCATTCATATTTATTGTATATAAAAATCTAAACTAACAACTTTTTCCTTTTTTAGATACAATTTTTGGTCCATGCAAGACTCATTTTCTTATGTTTGTTCATTTACTTGTACATTCATTAACTCCTTCCTCCTTTCCATCTGTCCTCATAATCATTCTAATGTGCTTCATGTGTACTTTTTTATTTGAATGCATTCTTAGTGTGTTATGTACACGTTCTAATATACACAAATGATAACTGTTGTATCATTTATTTCTGACTTTTTGGGTGTTTTTTGCTCAGCCCTGTTTTTAAAGTTCTATATATGTTGCTATCTGTTCTGTTGTTTCTATTGCATAGCATTCTTTAGTGTTTCTTGATTCTTTGAAGATAGAATCCCCATGTCTTAGGACATCTATTGTAGTCAATGAGAATTCTGGGGTCAAACTATCTAAGTAAGCTCTTACTGTCTTTTGAATCTTGTAGAGCGTTCTATTTAACCTTGATGCCTTCAGGCTCTCTACAATATGTTTTGGTAGAGTATTGTCATTCTGGAGATTCAGGTCTTCCAGAAAATTTTAAGTTATTATCCCTTCAAATATTTCTTTTAACCCATAATTTCTTCTTTTATCTGAATCTTCTACTGGTGTTATTCTTTATAGGTCTTAATGGCTCATTTTTAGATCTGTTTCTCTGTGCTATATTTTGGGTAAA